ACACAGATACAAGATAACCCATCAGTTGGTATATAACAGAGTATCAGCCTGGTATTGTAATCATAGTCTGAGCTGATAGTGTTATTTTAAAGATGCAGTTACTTGATTGAGTTGATGAAGTCTTTCACAAAGAAAATAACCAGGACAGAGTGAGCTGTCTGTCACCCTTATCCGCCATCAACAAAAAAAGCACTTAGTGCCTGTTACTGAATGCCATCGGAGCAAAAGTGAACCTTCCCCAGCAGAGAGGTGGTTCTGAGTCTTGTCCTCCCCTGTGATTTCCCTCAGTGGGGGAGGATGGGGGGAAGGGTAGGGGCGCTAAATCGACAGAACTGGTAATAAATATCCCTGCTGGGAAAAGGTCTGTGGTGTACTTTTTTTTTTTTTTTTAACAGGTTTAAAAAAAAAAAAAAAGAAGGGAAAGTTAGAGAAGGCAATATATCAGCTTTAGAATGTGGGTCAGAAATATTGTGCTTTCTCACTGAGAAATTATAAGTCTAGATCGTATTATTTACAGCACTCTATATGTTGTTCCAAAAATTGGTTTCAGGATTATCGTTCAAGATGAGTGGCATGCTGGGATATACCGTATATGATTCTCAGTTCAAGAAATTATTTCTCTAAGAGATGCCATAAAATATTTAAATAAAGTCTGCTTCATTATGTTATTCATTAACTTTACTGTTTCTGTTTGATGTTTTACAATTGTTGTCACAGGCCTTAGAACTGGCCACTTTAGGTGGATATCTCTGGATAAAATCCTCTGCAAACACTCATTTTTAAGGAAGTCATCCAATTAGTAAATATTATTCCATTTAAATGTGACTATTCTTTAAAGTACAATAAGGTTTGGAATTATTAGAACAAACTTAACATTATAAACAAATTGAAGTTTGTTTATAATGGAATTCTACACAGACTAAATTCGATTTTTATGGACTATTATTCAACCTGAGCTACAATGGAATGCTTTAGATCAAAGCATTAAGATGTGATAGAATGACCCATGGTCCAGACTAATGTCTAACTACAAAATCTGTAGGCTACAAAATTTATTTTCATTTTAGACAAATTGAACTTAGCTTGAAGCATGTTACATAAGACAAAAAAAATTGAAAATTAAGTTTCTAAAAATGCAACATTGGTAGAGACACAACCAACACAGCTTTTATTTAAACCTGATAAGATATAACCTTTCTTCCACCTCATAATCATGCAATAGCAGCTCACCATCACCTAAAAAAGATCCAAAATAAATAACACTGACTGGTGTTTTAATCAGAGAAAATGTGTTAAAGTTTTCTGATTAAAAATGGTCCGATTCAAAAAGAAGAAAATATTACAAGCTACATTGCTACTCCCAACTGTTAAAATGCATTTGTGTCTGCCAGGATAGTTATTCACCTAGTGTTTTTGCTGAGTGTACTCTTCTTATACAGTTTTTATATTTTAATGAGTGGTTCACTTCTACTGTGCATTCAAATTGGTCTGAGCACTTCTTCATTTGGTCAGCTGTGTCCTCTGAGGGAGCCATGTTTCCATTATAATATAGGAGAATAATTCATAGCTTCTTCTTTTATTCTTTTTTTTGTGTGTGTTCCTATGTACATCGCCATGAAGGCAGAAAACTGACAAAAGCAATTAGACACCATTAGAGAGTGCTACATGTTATATATACAATATTATCTTCATAATTATTAATACAAGTAATCAACCATAATTAGAGTCCTGGAAGTAACGTTGGAAAATGTTCCACTGTGTTGAACTACATTTTAGGACCACAAATGCTGAATGTGTATCTTTTCTTAATTAAAAACTACCTCCCTAATTGCTTCTGTGATTAGAAAGTGCTGCAGATTGAAAAGAATGTGAAATAAAATCTGTGGAACACTTTCATGTAAATGAACAACATTAATCAGTAGGTTTGGTTGAAGTCACATCCGTAACACAGATGTGAAAAAATAATAGAAGAAGAAAAAAATAATACAGAAATACAAAGAAAAACCCAAAATATTATGGATATTTAGTTTGAACTGAAAGCAAATCTTTTCAAAACAGCAGTTAACTGAATGTATTGATTCTAAAGGTCTATCAGTACTTCTGCTGTGGATAATTAATGTCTTCTTCTGTGCTTTCTATTTCACATTTACAGTGTAGGTGTTGGTCGGTTGCTCATAAGTCTGTTTCCAGGTTTGTTTTAGTTAAGTCTTTTCTTTTCTACCTTTACCCTTAGTCCTAGTTTGCTAATTAAGCACATCTCCTAGATCAGACTGGTTATCCTCATTAAGTGTTTGCACCTTTCTGTTTTACATTCTTGCTGTTTCTCAGTTACATAAATGCCTGTGGTAAGTTTTTCTTTGCTTTGCTTGAATTTCATTTTTTCCCCCTGTTCTTTAACTTCTGAAAAAGGCAGTGAGTTTAGTTGCAAAACGTAATGTTTTTTCTCAACTGTTCACAAGATTAAGAATAATTTCATTTCATCTTTTCATTGCAGCTGGATTTAAAGATTTAAACAATTTATTAATTAGCAGTAAGAAATAAATGTCACAGTAAGAAATACTGAAAAAACTCAGTTTGGGTCACTGGTTTAACACAGCAGAGTTGATTTGTGGGTTTGAAACAGAATAGTAGGTTAGGTTTTCAACACAAGTTATTACTTCAAGAGATTAACATGGAACATTAAGGAATTTAAAGAGTTGAACACAAAATTAAAAACCAAATCTTTTCATACATATATTTTCTCTGCTGGTTTTATGTGCTTGGTTGTAGCTGATGTGTTATTTTTAGCAAATAGGGGGTGGAGGACAAGGCGCACCATGAATAGATCACCAGTCTACCATAAAGGAACACAAGGTGACAGGAAAAATAACCATGCATGCATCCAGTCACACCTGTATATATCCCATGTTTATATGGGAGTGCCCATGTATATATTGAGAACATGCAGACTCAACACAGAATGGCAAGCCATGATTCAAAACATGGAGTTTTCTGCAAGGCAAACATGCAAACAATGTGTCAGCATTTATTATGGTTTAAATGTTGCTAACCTATAAGATATGAAGCAGTTCTAAGATAAGGCTGAATATTAATAGCAACAGCACATGCTATCCACTGAGAAGAACCATCCTACAGTAGAGCTGGATCCAACTTTATAAAAAAAATAACAACAAAAAAAGCGACTCTCAATTTAGGTTCTTTTTAACCATAGATTAATCTGGAGTTAAATTAATACAACATATGCTCTCAAACCCTCTTCAATGGCTAGCTTCTAACCAATAACACACATTTAATTGCTTATGTCTAATAGGAAGGCTATCAAAAAGTATATGAAAAAGAGGCAATGGATTACTAAAAACAATTATATTTGGGGAGTTTTGGCCTTGTGGTTAGAGCAATGCGCTTGTGCTCTGAGAAGGTTGCAAGTACCCGGTTCGGTCCCCACAGCCTGCACTCTGGGACCCTGAGCAAGACCCTTAACCCCCCGCTCCCCAAGAGGATGGGTAACATGCAGAGAGTGAATTTTTCCATTGTGAGATCAATCAGTTCTATTTTTGTTTGGGTAGAAATATGTTGGCATCTTAAATCAATATTATTCTACAACTACAAACTACCAGATAAAATAAAACTTTACAATAACCATCATTTATAGTTTTATTTTCTTTTAAACTTGCCCTGTCATGCTGGACTTACCCTAACATCCGTGGGCTTAATACCTTAATAAATGCTCTATTTACCTTTTATAAATGGTTTAGATGCAGTTTGTAAATGAATCAATCATTATTAAATGGCCTCTTTATCATCTATAAATGATAGTTATTGCAAAGCATAACCTTAACCCTGACTATATGTGGACCCCAGGAAGACTAGCTGTTTGCCATGGCAACAGCTAATGGGGATCCTTAATAAAATTACAAATTACAAAATTACAAATAACAGTAAACGTTTCTCTATCACTTTTGACACATTTTTGGTAAAGAGGTAAATGTCTAACTTTACCCATTATCTGTTCCAAGTCCTCTGTTTATCTAAGATAAAGGTAAAAGGTCAGGGAGGGAAATCCAATCATCCCTCTCCCTAAGCACACTCCTTGAAGCTAAATCTAGGAGATCCCAGCATCCCCAGGTCAGAAAGTATACATAGCTTCTCTTCAGCAAGTTCTGCCCCAGGGCCCCTTCCCAGTGGGAATTGCCCAGAAATCCTTTCAACAGGACACACCTAGGGGGTATTAAAGTAGTTAGCTCAGACTAGCAGTATCTTACACAAATGTCTGTACGGCTTATCTTAAGTGGCCAAAAAGTTCTATGTATTAAAGACATTAAATTAATTAACAATATCATAGAGTATACTTGTATTATTAGCTATTTCCTCCAGTGGAAAAAAGTATAATAAACTCTTAATATTTCCTTTCAATAGCTCCAAGTGGTGGTCTTTAAAGGACTACAATGGCTATTTCAACTGTGTCACAATATTTGCAGACATGATTTACTATTTCTTTAAAGTGTTATCTATATAGAGGCAACACACCGTCGCAAATACTAGTCAAGTGGCAGAGTTAAAAAGCAAAAAAGTGAAAAGCAATCCTATAACCAGGAAGTCTTTCTTAAATTCAGAATATCTAAGTAGGGAGAGACATCCCCCTCACTCATCTGCCACTGGGCTGCCCTTGAATCATGAAACAGGCCCCAGCTGCTTCACTGGAGCTGCACACTAGCTGTATATAGGGAGGAATGACTGGGAGATGTGGGCAGCTCCCTAGTGTGAATCTATACATATGTGAAACAGCCTGTATCTGGGAAAGAGCAGATAGGCTCAGTATACCTCTTCAGAGGAAATCAATGTTTGGAGAAAAAAAACATGCAGAGAAAGCTTCATCCAAAAGAACATATGTTAATGCTTGCTTGGCTCTTGGGGGAGATAAAAGCTTGATCCAGACCTTGTTTATTGGAAACTGTGTGCGACATAAATCATGTACTAAGAAAATGGAAACAATAACTCACCTTTCGCTTTGCTTTTTGTTCCAGCCACTGATAGCATGAGGGGATAAAACAAGGAAACAATAAGTTAGATAGGTAGGATCAAGACTTTCGCTAAGTAGTATTGTCTGTTTTGCTATTCTTCTCTTCATGGTATGATTGAAGAGTAGAAATGGAAGCAGAATAGAAGGTTTCTTCAATACTATATGAAGCAATGAAAGGACAGTTTATGAAAAGACAGACAATACATAACTTATATTGAAACAACTCATAAACTGCCAAGTGCACCTCTTTTTATTGTGTGTGAGAGAAAAAGGTAGAGGAACAAAACGTTATAATTTAAAAAGATAAATAGATTTAATTTAAAATCACATGGTAAAGGCAATTTGTTGCAGAATCTTTAGATTATAGGTATAAAAACTAACCACACCACACTACAGCAAATTCATCATAGGGCTTAAATAAAAATATCCATTTTATGACAGCTTATACAATACATGGGGTGCTTTATTATTGACCTTACTGGATGGGGTACACGAGAAGAAGTAAGCCTTTTCTACAGTCTAAACTGCAAAATTAGATTTTGCTGGAGAACATGAAAAAGGCCTAATGAATATTAGGAGCACGTCCTTTGCTATAATGAGAACAAGATAAATATGCTCAGCTCAGATTATTTGGCATGAACTTGACCTGGAATTCTTGGTCCAGGAAGTGAGAAACTGTTACCATAATTTAATAATACAGGGGTTGTAAAGTGCAAAATCTTTTGGGACATGAAATTTAAAGACACCACCAAAAGCTCCTGTGAATGCACTGAAATATGAGCCGACAACATGACTTCCATTATCCTGAAGCCTAAAAGAAGAAAAATCCGGCATGATAACAATTCAAAGCGTAACGCTAAAATCAGACAGGAGTTCCTAAAAAAGAAAGGAAAGCTTTGACACCTTTTGAGTATCATAAAGTGGAAGTCAGAGAAAAACTCACCCTGCAGTAAAGAGAAGCTGAAAAGGTCCCTGAAAAATGGTGGAACCTGCCTGCAGAATTTAGCATAAAACTAGTAACCTCTGTGGTCATATGGATGAAAAAGAGTCAACTTTAGATTTGACTGGCTATTTTTTTTCAAGGAACTGTATTTTTTTTATTTTATTTTTTTGACGCAGTGACATATTACTTTTATTTAGTTATCATTATAAAACATAATGGTTTCTAAATTATAATTAAGGAATTCAGATTTTAAATGCTTGTTGATATATACATACCAGTGGTCAATTTTATATTTCTGGATATTTCTGGAATTGATGACGCTAGAGGCGGTGTCTAATTTGTAACCTAAACTAATAGGTGATTTTATGTAGCTCAGCTTAGATTTGTAAATTATTTGTTTAAACATGGAGACTAATTAGTAATTATAGATTTAATACAGATTCTTTGTAACAAAGTTAAAGACTTGGAAAACATTTGTTTTTCTGAGAATCAGAAGTATTTTGCAATTATTACTGATGCTTTAAAAGACGTCTATTTAAAGAGAGAAGTAAAATTGGGAGCAAATAAAAGATCTTCGTTTGTTTTAAGTGATATGTTAAAGTCCATACAATTCATCCTTCCGGATTAGATCTTTTCAGGGTAATATTTATTTTCTAATCATGTTTCTTAGTTCATTTTGGGGAGTGTTGTAAGGGAATAAGGAATTTAATCTGCATCTGAGTCCCTTCCATATAAAACTTCCACTGAAATGAACCTCCTTTTGATTGTGAAAGAGAGCCGGGCTAAGGATACAACCTCAAAAAGGACTAAATTATGCAATATCATTGAAAAGGCACAGTTTTGCCTTTTTAATGCATTTTTGATGCAAAATAATTTATATTTTATTTGACCAAGGTGGGAAGCTGAACAAATGAAATCAGGGAGAAATTGTCCTCGATAAGAAACACTTATGCACACACATTTTACTTTCTCATATCTGGAGGAAAGTTACCAAATTAGGATCAGTGCAATCGCTGGAAACAGGAAAAAGAAAGAAAGTTTTTAGATCATGCCGATCTGCATGTGTTTATACCCTCTCTCGACAAGTGCTTTCTTAAAAAAGCAGCGGATAATTCACATCCTACGACATAGGATATTTTTTACTGAGTTAAATATGATGGAGAGGAACATTTAGACTTAAACGGATATACGATTTTAAAGTGTTTCTTTTGATTAACCTAAAAAATGTTCTCGGGGTTACAGAAGGTGCTGGATGACGCATTAAATTTAGCACTTAAAACTAAGAGCTCTTATATACGAAGCCAACAGAAAGAGCAAGCAGCACCCCCTGCTGTGTTTCCCTTACATTGGATGCATCAGGGAAAAAGCAGCAAGAAAAAAAAGAAAGAAAAAAAATGATTGCACTACAAAGACAGCTTTTAACACTCAGATCCAATGTGCAATCTACACCTGGGCAAAGAGACTTTAGTGTGCACTAAATAAATCATGAAGAGCTTACTAGTTAATAGATCAAATAGTAAAGCATGAGTTCGATTACTGATAGTTTAACCTTTTATGGTCCCACACAGTTGTAACTCATTTCTATGTGTGTGTTTTTTTCCTTACTCATAAACATGTGTGCCATGCAGGAAACCCATAGTCAAATCCTATGTTTGTCAGAAAGGGCATCCAGTGTAATGAATTTCTAAGGAAACCCTAAAATATGAGAGCAGACTAAATGAGCACTTTTGACAGGAATTTAGTTTTATTAGTCATATTGTTATCCCCTCATAAAAAGGTATGAATGTAATGTAAGCCACGTCCCTATAGTTAATTAGGTGACAAACTATAAACAGTTCTTGTTATGAGTGATCCTGGATAATATCGCTACTATCCACCTGTGGCTTTGACTACTATAGTATAGTAGATAATGAAATGTTCAAAATATTAATTCTGAGCAAAAGCTTTCTATAAGAAAAAAGGAAAAATGAATAACCTGTAAAATAATGCTCACTCCTAACCTGATAGTTAGGAGCTCGTGTAGATTTTAAATTTACCATTACTTTCAAAAGATTGCTACTGATTAAAATATGAATGCATGATGAGTTGATAAGGTGAAGGATAATATAAAAAGAAGATTATTAGATAATAGCATTCTAGTCTTCTTTTGTAAGAAAAAAAGTTAATATATAACTTTTCCAACTCCTGTGAGCCTTTGTCTTCAGTAAGGATAGAATTTTAGAGAAAAAACCTAAATAGGAGTCATTGGAATTTTAGAGAGTTTAGTATATTATTTATATTATTATTTAGCGTTTTTATTTTTTCTCCAGATTTTAAATTTTTTTTGTTATCTTTTGTTACCTGCGTAGTAGCCCAGTTATTGGGGCTGTCGTCTTGGAGAGAAAAGTTAGCATGTTACACCTCTTTGGGTGTGGGTTCTCTCTCCGTATCCCAGTTTTCTTCCACTGTCAAAACATTTTACTGTTAAGTTAACTGGTATCTCTAAAATGCCCTTGGGTTTAACTGTGTGTGTGCATGGTTTTTGTCCTGTGTGTTGCCCTGTAATAAACTGATGACCTGTCCAGAGTGGCCCTGGGCTCTCACCCAGTGGTTACTGTAGAGTGTCTCTGCAACTCCATACAAAAACAGTGGAAGGAACAAGTAGATTGATTTTCTCTATAGTAAAGTAAAGAAACCAAAAAAACAGTAATATACTATCTAATACCATTACGATAAAGCCTGTCAATGCCAAAACGGCAGAGGGTATAACACTGCATATTTGTACATGCATATTTTCTGTCAATTTTCAAGCTTTAACAACCACATATCCTAGAAGGCCCCAATATTAAGATTTATTTCAGATCTGACCTATTATTCCTATTATTATTAATTCGGATTTCCATCACTTTTTTTCTTTTTTTTTCCAAGGTGGATATAGTGGTGATGTGGTTATACTTTGAATTAAAGAGTTAGTTTTAGATAAGTCATTTCTACATGCACAGAATTGTGACACCTGTTAGGGCATTACTTACATATTAAAAATTATTTATTTATCTTGTAGGAGGATTTAATTACTAACTAAAACACAGCTATTTTCTGAAGGAATTGCTAATACCTGTGGACAGTGGGTCATTTGTTTCACTGGGAAAATACTAAACCTCAATAAGTCAGAGTAACTTTTAGTAAAAAAAAAAAAATAGCCTTTAGCTAGTCAAAAATACAACAGCATACAAACATGGCTTTTTTTCTCTGATCTAAATCCTTTGTTTTTGCTAATGAGACAGAATAATAGATTATGCCACACAGTTTTCTAAAGACTACCATTTTGAAATCAACATCTTAATCATACGCCACTGTAACTTCCACAAATTTGGAATTTAGGGTTATGGCAAGGAGACCTTCCAATTTGGAAGTTATCACTAAATATAAATACTTGAAACACAGCACAATTGGCAAACCTGAGAAAAGTACTGCTTAGCATTTTAAAAGAACAGTTTAATATCTGTAATCCAAATTAAATTCTCCTTAAGTTCAAACACTTAGAAGGTTATAAACAATTCTCAACTTTTCATTAAAAAAAAAAAAAAAGATTTTAAAAAATCCACTTTTTATAATTAATGCACAATTGAATTGGTTTTATGATGTTTCGCAAGATTCCTGATAAGTTGCTGAGGCAAGCTAGTAAATCTATATACTTTGATAAAAATGTGTGTTTATAAAGTCAACATAGACAAACAATATTTTATATATTAAGTAGCAAAATTGTTATTTATTTTTTTTTTCAATAAGATATTACGGCATTGCTTTTATAAGTATCTCTGATGACATTAAAAGAATATTAAAAGAAAAAAAAAATAAAAGTTCTATTATTTTAACATAATCCTAACCAGCTAAGATACACGTGATTATTTGAAAATTACTCTGCAATAGCCTTGTTGTTATTCAAGGCAACAGATTACTAAAACTGCCAATAATAAATGTTTTATTGTTTTTTATCATCAAATTTATTTTTAGCATAATCAAATTTAAGAAATGATGTAAGCCTCAATAATAAGTAGTTACCCATAACGTCCTTTGGGCAAATA